TTGGTGACTAAAGTCAGAGCCTATGACGCTGATATAGGATATAACGGCTGGTTACTGTTCTCACTGCAGGAAGTTACTGCCCACAGTCTCTTTGGTTTGGACCGCTATACAGGACAGATCAGAACACTTCGCTCATTCACAGAGACAGACGAGGCTGAGCATAAACTGCTCATACTGGTGAAAGACAATGGCAACGTTTCCCTGTCAGCAACAGCTACTGTGGTTGTTAAACTTGTGGAGCCCAGAGAGGCTTTTGCTGCTGCTGATGTTAAAAGTGCAACAAAGGATGATGAGGATAATAATGTGACTTTTTACCTGATGATAACTTTGGGCTCAGTTTCAACACTTTTTCTCATCAGCATCATCGTGCTGATTGCAATGCAGTGCTCTAAGTCCACAGACTATACTTCTAAATATCTACAAGAGACTAACTATGATGGGACATTGTGTCACAGCATCCAGTACAGATCTGGAGACAAGCGGTACATGTTAGTTGGACCCAGAATGAGTATAGGATCTACTATAGTCCCGGGCAGCCATGCCAACACACTAGTGCTCCCTGACAGAAGGGGGACATCCACAGAGGTAAGACACATACATATTCCAGCTTCATGTCCTTTCATGTAGCAATGTCAATGTGATGGGAATTCATTTGCTCATATTTAAAATGTTGATTTCAAATTACATTGGATCATGTCTTACATGTACACTTTAAAGTTTTGTTTAGGATATAGGATCTGCTCTTGAGGCAGCATCTTCCTCTTATCTGGCTGAAATCATTTGTTTTTTCATACTTCATCCTTGTTGTTGAATAGTTGGTGATGTATGAGTCAATGCAGTTTTCCATAACAATTAGGGTAATGTATTCCTACGCCTCTAAATGCAGGAGGAAGTGTCTCTGTCCATGGTGCTAACACATGTTGTACTGTTTGTTGTCATTCCTGGTTGCCCTTCGCAATAATTATGTACTTTTTTGGACATAATCATATGGGTAAATTAAGTGAACTTGCATAAGGATATCTATTTTTTTTTTTTAAATTATCGCAGTCAATCACGTTGTCAGTACCTTCATCAACTCTATCAAAACATTTCTGATTTCATGCCCGACTTGGCGTTCTGCATTATCTTGGCAATGATGGACAATGCTTGTGATCATTTTTTATTTTGTTTTGGATTTTGCATGACGTTGACTTTGTAGCTTGTCTTATTGTACCTTATATTAACCTTCTTTTATTTAAAGAATGGCTTGATAATTAAACATTGCGGGCGAGCAAATTAAATCTGACTTATGTTGCAAAGACAACATAAACTTGGTCATGATCAACACATTCTGCCAAAAAGTAAACTATAGCATTCCGTATTAATGCAAGTACAATAGGACAGTGAAAAAAAATATCCTAATCCAAAGTGTTTGCCGAACTGAAAAGCAATGAGATCGCTGTCCTTGGTGCTGGAAGCTGAAGGAGTTTATTTAGTCGATGTTTAGACTCGGCAGCCGCCTTCTCTCTTTAAGTATTGAATAACTTTGATATGTTTAAAAACAACACACCATTGACCAAAGTGTTTATTATATCCCTCACATTTATGCAGTGAGAAAAGGGGTCGCATGGTGTCAGTGAAAAGTTAAAATTCAGCAGGACACGAGATTGTCGTCATTGCAGTTTGGTTCCTCCTCCTGACAACATTTTACTTCGATACTGACAGGACCATTTCGCTGCTCATGCCTTCATACATGATCGGTTTAGCGCAATTTCTGGATATATATGAAGTTAATTAACAGGTCAATATACATGTAAGAAATTGCAGGATTTCGTCTTCACAGCAAAACTATAAAGATTGCAATGGATTACTGATGATTTTGGGTTTAACCATGGAACAAAGAAGATGCGAGATGCGGAGGGTGCGGGGATGTTTGCTCGGCTGCGTGGTTGCTGTGCTTTTGTGCAGCGTGGCTTCAGCGCAAATACGATATTCAATCTCGGAGGAAGTTAACGAAGGAACTGCGGTGGGAAATATAGCAAAAGATCTTGGATTAGACAAAAGGACACTGAAAGACAGGAAGTATCGGATTGTTTCCAGTAATGCGGATCCGCTTTTCCATGTGAATCAAAACGATGGTGTCCTGTATGTGAGCCGAAAGATTGACAGAGAGGAAGTGTGCGCGCAGAGCAGTACGTGTTTAATGAATCTGAAAACTGTGCTGGAAAACCCTCTGGAAGTACATTATGTTGGTGTAGAAGTGCTGGATATAAATGATCATTTTCCCAGTTTCCCAGAGCAAGAAACTACGTTGGAGATTTCAGAGTCTGTAATACCGGGAGTGCGTATTCAGCTTAAAGCCTCGCGAGATCCAGACAGTGGGCCTTTCTCCGTGCAACACTATAAGCTTAATGACAACGATAATTTCCGTTTGGAAATTAAGGATAAAGGAGCCGATGGTAAAATACCAATATTGGTTATTCAGAAATCTTTAGACAGAGAAACTAAAGGAAGCCATTCATTAGTACTGACTGCACTGGATGGAGGGAAACCTCCGAAATCTGGAACTATGAATATTGTAGTGAATGTTCTAGATGTTAATGATAATGCGCCTGTTTTCTACAAAGAAGTTTATTCTGTGATGATAGATGAAAATGCTCCAATAGGTACAACAGTCATACAAGTCAATGCAACTGATTTAGACGAAGGGCCAAACGGGGAAGTAGTTTACTCATTTACTAATAGTATAAACAGAAGGTTATTAAAAATATTTGATATCAATCCATCAACTGGTGAAATAACTGTGAAAAGTTTAATAGACTACGAGGAGAAAGACATGTATGAGATTGAAATTCAAGCAACAGATAAAGGTATTGCTCCACTGGCTACAGAAAAAAGCGTCAACATTAAAATAGTAGACATTAATGATAATGCACCTGAGATTGAAGTTACTTCATTTTCAAACTCTATCCCTGAAGATTCAAGACCTGGAACAACAATAGCCCTTATCAGTGTTAATGATTTGGACTCTGGTCTCAATGGAAAAGTGATTTGCTCAATAGGTGAGGATGTTCCTTTTGCTTTAATACCATCTTTACAAGACAACATGTTTTCATTGGTGACCAAAACACCCCTGGATAGAGAGAAACAGTCACAATATGTCCTGACAGTAACTGCAAAAGATGCTGGTCAACCTCCATTATCATCTGAGAAGACAATAAATGTAGTGGTTTCAGATGTGAATGACAACAGTCCAGAATTTTCATTGAGTCCATATACTTTCTATATCACTGAAGCTAATGAGCCAGGTACCTCTGTGTTTTCAGTAAAAGCTTTTGATCGTGATGAGAATGATAATGCACTTATAACTTATCATATTCTCAGAGATGGCAGTGAAGGAAATAAATTGACCTCATTTCTTAACATTAACTCTGACACTGGAGATATTTTGGGGCTAAAAAGCTTTGACTTTGAAACTCTGAAAACGTTCCGGTTCCAAGTTGTCGCCACAGATTCTGGAACTCCGTCACTAAGCAGCAACGTCACAGTGCACGTGTTCATTCTGGATCAGAACGACAACGCTCCAGTCATCCTGTATCCGGTCAGCTCTAACGGTTCTGCTGAAGGTGTGGAGGAGATTCCCCGCAATGTGAACGCAGGACACTTGGTGACTAAAGTCAGAGCCTATGACGCTGATATAGGATATAACGGCTGGTTACTGTTCTCACTGCAGGAAGTTACTGCCCACAGTCTCTTTGGTTTGGACCGCTATACAGGACAGATCAGAACACTTCGCTCATTCACAGAGACAGACGAGGCTGAGCATAAACTGCTCATACTGGTGAAAGACAATGGCAACGTTTCCCTGTCAGCAACAGCTACTGTGGTTGTTAAACTTGCGGAGCCCAGAGAGGCTTTTGCTGCTGCTGATGTTAAAAGTGCAACAAAGGATGATGAGGATAATAATGTGACTTTTTACCTGATGATAACTTTGGGCTCAGTCTCAACACTTTTTCTCATCAGTATCATCGTGCTGATTGCAATGCAGTGCTCTAAATCCACTGACTATACTTCTAAATATCTACAAGAGACTAACTATGATGGGACACTGTGTCACAGCATCCAGTACAGATCTGGAGACAAGCGCTACATGTTAGTTGGACCCAGAATGAGTATAGGATCTACTATAGTCCCGGGCAGCCATGCCAACACACTAGTGCTCCCTGACAGGAGGGGGACATCCACAGAGGTAAGATACATATTTTTGGATGTTTTGATTTTCGCATCCCCTGCATACTTAATACTATGTGTGAAAGCCCCCCTCTAACGGGCAAATACATTACATTACACTGCAAATAGCAATAATTAAATAGCAGAGAAGCGATACATTACTCAGGCTTAGCATTAACACTCCTACATACATTGTGATTAGTTTAAAATTGTGTGGACTACAACTATAGCTTCAGAGCAGAGTTGTCATTCTGTTTTTGTTTTTCAACTGCCATGTGATTTGTAATCATATATGTGTTATGGGGCTTGCAACTTGTGTGCTTGAATACGTTTTGACAGCTGCAGTTCATGAGCTTTAGTAACATCCTGGAATAGATGAGATGTAAATAAAAGGATCGTGTGGTTCCAATACTAAAGCTTATCCCCACTGTTAAACAGTTATATATAAGTTTATGTCTCATATCACTTCTGATCATTTGAAGATTGTATTTCATGTGTTAACTTAACAATAACATCTTATAATAATAACGATTCTAACGCTTGGTGTCAGTGTAGCTCAGTGTTTCTGTGACTGGCAGCACTTTACGTCACGTGCTTTATGTGGATCGAGTCCTTGCATTTTTCAGAGCATACTTGAGCGAATAAGATCGCAATTGCCACCAACGAGTGTGTTTAATTTTCAACCGTTTTTGTAAAAGCAGACGTTGGATGTTGTGAAGAAACATGGCGGATTAAGTTTAATTTATTTCAAGACGTAGTTAATGGACTGTTCTCTATCGCCCATACGAGCCATGGAACAAAGAGGACGCAAAGCACGGACGCCGCGACAATTTTGGTTTGCCTTGATGGTTGTTTTCGATATTTTATGGAGAGGAGCGACAGCACAGATCAGATATTCAATATCTGAGGAGGTTCAAGATGGAACCGTGGTCGGGAATATAGCGAAGGATTTGGGGCTAGATAAGAGTGCACTCAAAGACAGAGGATATCGCATTGTAACAGGCTCAACTGAGCCCCTGTTTCAAGTGAATCAAAACGATGGCATATTGTATGTTAAAAAAATAATAGATAGGGAGGAGGTGTGCGACCGGACCAGCCCGTGTTTGATCAACCTCAAAACTGTGCTAGAAAACCCGCTGGAGATCCACTATGTGGCGGTGGAAATACTAGATATAAATGACCACTCGCCTGTTTTTACGGAGAAAGAGAAAAGGCTTGAGATCTCTGAGTCGGCTTTACCAGGGGCGAGATTTCAACTACAGGCTGCGCGTGACCCCGACGTTGGCCAGTTATCCATTCAGCAATATCGACTCAGCCATAACGAGTATTTTAGATTAGAAGTGAAGGATAGAGGCGAAGACCTTAAAGTTCCATTTTTAGTCCTGCAGAAACAGCTAGATAGAGAAAAAGCCGGGAAACACAAACTGCGTCTTACAGCAGTGGATGGAGGAAAACCTGCGAAATCTGGCGCTATAGAAATTACTGTGGATGTGCTTGATGTTAATGATAACTCCCCTGTGTTTACAAAAGAGTTGTATTCTGCAACACTAAAAGAAAATGTTTCCGTTGACACTGTAGTCATTCAGGTAAATGCAACAGATCTGGACCAGAGTGCAAATAGCGAGATAATATATTCATTTGGTAACGAAGTTGATGCAAAATTAAAGGACATCTTTAAAATAGACGCAAACACTGGTGAAATTAAAGTCATCGGTAAAATAGACTTCGAGAAAAGTAAAAGTTATGAAATTGACATTCAGGCGTCTGATAAAGGACAAGTTCCTCTAACAACTGACAAAAGTGTTATGATAACAGTTATTGATGTAAATGACAATGCACCTGAGATAGAAGTAACATCATTTTCTAGCTCTATCAAGGAGGATTCAAAGATAGGAACTACTGTAGCCCTGATTAGTGTTAGGGATTTAGACTCTGGAATCAATGGAAAAGTAATTTGCACCATCAAAGAGGATGTTCCTTTTACTTTATCTCCATCGTTACAGGAAAACATGTACGCTGTTGTAACCAGGTCGCAACTGGATAGGGAAATGGTTGCCCACTTTGAATTTACAATTATCGCTAAAGACACAGGTGATCCGTCCTTTTCAACTGAAAAGACCATGAGTGTCGTAGTATCAGATGTAAATGACAACAATCCAGAGTTTTTAACAAGCCCCTATGTATTTTATATCACCGAGAATAACAGTCCCGGAGCCTCAGTATGTTCAGTAAAAGCTTCTGATCGTGATGAAAGCGATAACGCTGTCATTTCATATAATATTCTCAGAGATGGCAGTGAAGGAAATAAATTGACCTCATTTCTAAATATCAACTCTGAAACTGGAGATATTTTGGCGCTAAAAAGCTTTGACTTTGAGACTCTGAAAAAGTTCCAGTTCCAAGTTGTCGCCACAGATTCTGGAACTCCGTCACTAAGCAGCAACGTCACAGTGCACGTGTTCATTCTGGATCAGAACGACAACGCTCCAGTCATCCTGTATCCGGTCAGCTCTAATGGTTCTGCTGAAGGTGTGGAGGAGACTCCGCGCAATGTGAACGCAGGACACTTGGTGACTAAAGTCAGAGCCTATGACGCTGATATAGGATATAACGGCTGGTTACTGTTCTCACTGCAGGAAGTTACTGCCCACAGTCTCTTTGGTTTGGACCGCTATACAGGACAGATCAGAACACTTCGCTCATTCACAGAGACAGACGAGGCTGAGCATAAACTGCTCATACTGGTGAAAGACAATGGCAACGTTTCCTTGTCAGCAACAGCTACTGTGGTTGTCAAACTTGTGGAGCCCAGAGAGGCTTTTGCTGCTGCTGATGTTAAAAGTGCAACAAAGGATGATGAGGATAATAATGTGACTTTTTACCTGATGATAACTTTGGGCTCAGTCTCAACACTTTTTCTCATCAGTATCATCGTGCTGATTGCAATGCAGTGCTCTAAATCCACAGACTATACTTCTAAATATCTACAAGAGACTAACTATGATGGGACACTGTGTCACAGCATCCAGTACAGATCTGGAGACAAGCGCTACATGTTAGTTGGACCCAGAATGAGTATAGGATCTACTATAGTCCCGGGCAGCCATGCCAACACACTGGTGCTCCCTGACAGGAGGGGAACATCTACAGAGGTAAGATCCAAACTTTTACTCTCGCTCCTTTACGACGTTGAGCCCGATTGTGTTGGAATAACACACAATGTATACTTTTTAATATAATTGCATGCTCTCGACGCGTGTGTATCTACAATTATTTTCATATGTTAATGCTACATGATTTGTAGTCGTGGCATATTCTTGTATAATGTCGTTGTTTACACAGAAGGCAGCAGTACTTTTTCATGGCAAACACTCTTAGGGGAAATGGGAAGAGAACCTTGTTATCAAAATATTGTTACAATGACAAACTTGGTCATCGTCCTGTTTTGTGAGTCAAATATGTTGATGAGTGCAAGTTATCGCTGTCCGCGGTGCTGAAATCAATTATCAAATCCGTCTCAAGGTAGTAATCGACAGTATAATGTTAAATGGGTTATGTCTCCGTAGGCTCTCTCTCTCTAATGAAGGGGGCATCTTTGCCTTCTCTGTCCTTTAGAAGAGGGGAAATGCTGCCTCTATTCTTGATTGTTAGGGACATTTATTTTTCGTACAAAATCTTCCTTTAAATACATGTTGTTGTTAACAAATGAAGTACTGCAGTGTGATTCTCGATCACTTGGTGTCAGTATAATAACAGATAATGATTTATATGTTTTCGTCATAGCCATCAGACCCACCCCTTTCCTCTTTCTAAAACCGTCATCGACAGACCCGTATACGTGACGGGTTGAATACTCAATTCAGCATTAAAATAGTCTGATGCTCTGCTGGAGAACGATTGGATTATAACAAAAGGTGTAAAGAAGGGATTTTATGTCAGAATACAAGTGAAGCTCTTAGAAAGCTGTTTTTATTTTAACATTTTTCATTTATGATGGAACAAAGACGACGCCAGACATGGAGGGAGCGGACAAAGTGGCTTGCTTTCATGACGGTTTTGGTTACGTTTTGGAGCGGAGCGTCAGGACAATTTCGATATTCCATCTCCGAGGAAGTGAAAATAGGAACAGCAGTGGGAAATATCGCCAAGGATTTAGGTGTTGACAAGAGCACACTGAAAGAGAGGGGGTACCGTATTGTCTACGGCTCCACGGAGCCTCCTTTTCGAGTGAATCAAGACGATGGTATCTTGTATGTAAACCACATCATTGACAGAGAGGAAGTGTGCGACCGTAGCAAGATTTGTGTAATCGACTTAAAAACCGTGCTAGAAAACCCACTGGAGGTGCACTATGTTGCAGTGGAGATTCTGGATGTAAACGACCACTCTCCATGCTTTCCCGAACATGAAAAGATGTTAGAGATTTCTGAGTCTGCATTACCTGGAGCAAGATTTCAGTTACAAGCTGCTCGTGATGCTGATAGTGGTTTATTATCCGTTCAGCAGTATAAGTTGAGTCAGAACGAACATTTTCGTTTGGAAGTGAAAGATCGTGGTGAGGACCGCAAAACACCTGGTTTAATTCTTCAAAAAGCACTTGATAGAGAGTCTGTCAAGACGCATACGTTACTTCTGACAGCCATTGATGGAGGTAAACCTCCGCGATCCGGTAATATGACAATAATTGTTGATGTGTCCGATGTTAATGATAACCCCCCCGTTTTCACCAAGGAGTCATACACTGCTCAGCTAAAAGAAAATTCTCCTCTAGGAACAAATGTGATTCAAGTTAATGCAACAGATTTGGATGAAGGTTTAAATGGTGAAGTTATATATTCATTTGGAAACGACGTTGACGCACGGGCACGTGCACGTTTTGATTTGAATTATCTGACTGGAGTTATTTCTGTGTCAGGGGCCATAGATTATGAAGAATGTAGCAGATATGAGATTGATATTCAGGCATCCGACAAAAGTACGGCTACACTAACTACGGACAAAAGCGTTATTATAAATATTGTGGACTTAAACGACAATGCACCAGAGATGGAAGTGACATCTTTTTCGCGTGATCTCCCTGAAGATTCAAAACCAGGAACAACAGTAGCCTTGATAAGTGTTAAAGATTCGGACTCTGGTCTCAACGGAAAAGTGATGTGTTACATTAGCCAAGATCTTCCTGTTATGCTCACTCCATCTTTACAAAACAACATGTATTCACTTGTAACAAAAATGCTTTTGAATCAAGAGGAGGTGTCACAATATGATGTTACGATTGTATGTAAAGACGCAGGGGAACCATCCTTATCATCAGAAAAAAATATTAAAATGGTTGTGTCAGATGTAAATGACAACAGGCCAATGTTTTCAAAGAACCCATATACCTTCTACATAACTGAGAACAACAACCCAGGAGCGTCTGTTTTATCCGTGACAGCCAGTGATGAAGATGACGGTAGTAATGCTCTAATTTCATATTACATAGTAAGAGACAGAGGGGCAGAGCAGTTATTTACCTCATTTCTAATATAAATAGTGACACTGGAGATATTTTGGCGCTAAAAAGCCTTGACTTTGAGACTCTGAAAACGTTCAAGTTCCAAGTTGTCGCCACAGATTCTGGAACTCCGTCACTAAGCAGCAACGTCACAGTGCACGTGTTCATTCTTGATCAGAACGACAACGCTCCAGTCATCCTGTATCCGGTCAGCTCTAACGGTTCTGCTGAAGGTGTGGAGGAGATTCCCCGCAATGTGAACGCAGGACACTTGGTGACTAAAGTCAGAGCCTATGACGCTGATATAGGATATAACGGCTGGTTACTGTTCTCACTGCAGGAAGTTACTGCCCACAGTCTCTTTGGTTTGGACCGCTATACAGGACAGATCAGAACACTTCGCTCATTCACAGAGACAGACGAGGCTGAGCATAAACTGCTCATACTGGTGAAAGACAATGGCAACGTTTCCCTGTCAGCAACAGCTACTGTGGTTGTTAAACTTGTGGAGCCCAGAGAGGCTTTTGCTGCTGCTGATGTTAAAAGTGCAACAACGGATGATGAGGATAATAATGTGACTTTTTACCTGATGATAACTTTGGGCTCAGTCTCAACACTTTTTCTCATCAGTATCATCGTGCTGATTGCAATGCAGTGCTCTAAATCCACAGACTATACTTCTAAATATCTACAAGAGACTAACTATGATGGGACACTGTGTCACAGCATCCAGTACAGATCTGGAGACAAGCGGTACATGTTAGTTGGACCCAGAATGAGTATAGGATCTACTATAGTCCCGGGCAGCCATGCCAACACACTAGTGCTTCCTGACAGAAGGGGAACATCTACAGAGGTAAGAAAATTATTTGCGAAAACCGTGGCATGTTTCTACTAGCAGCGTTGTTCGTTAATTCGTAATTGAAAAACTCTAAATGATATACAGCACTTGTACAATTTGATAGGCATATAAGTATTTGAAGGATATTTGTTTAGTATATTTGAGTCTTCAGCTGCAATTTTTATTAAACTGTTTAACCTGAAGTGAAAAGCTGTTATCAACAAGTGTCATTATGGGGTGAGATATGCTTATACTCCTCTGTTTGTCAGTTTGTAGTCTCCTGCTTTTTTCCATATTCTGACAAACACATACTACAACATACTTTGATGAATCAAAGAACAGTACCTTCACTTGGACTAATGTGTGATCCGAGGTTGCAAGGCTTCTTCAATGTATTGTACATTTACACATATGACTGGACGAATCATAACTGCCTCTCTGCTGTCCACGGTGCTTTAAAGTGTTACTCTGCTGCTCTGATACCTGCTAATACACTGTGCAAAATGTCAAACCAATTTTAAATGAGGTATAGATATATCAAACATTTTTTAAACATAATTTAATAATAATAATTAATAATAATTTTTTTAGAGGAATGAATGCGTTTATTGTTAAATCTGGCATCGCATTATGTGATGTAGTTAAACGAAGTAAACACTACTCACAGGGGTAAAGTAAATCGTTATACAAAAATGTTTTCATTTCGCTATCACAAAAGGTACAGAAACGTTGATTTCCTTGTAGTGAGCAAGCATATCGCATGGTGTCAGTGTGTCAGAAAAATAACGTTTTAACTTGTCGTTACTGGGTGTTGGATCCACCTCTTTTTAGTGCTCTCAGTTCGATACTGCAATTCTGCTTGGCGGCTGGCTGCCGCATTTATACATATTGCCCCGTGTTTTAACAGGTTTTTAACGGAGTGAATATTTGCATACCCGGATGTGTTGATCTATATTTTTACAAGACGGTTACTAGCCCTGTGAGGAATCCTTACCGTTTTTGTTTTTAATCATGGAACAAAGAGGATGCGTGGCAAGAATGGCGAGAAGACGGTGGATCGGCTGCGTGGTTGCTGTGCTTTTGTGGAGCGTAACATCGGCACAATTACGATATTCAATATCCGAGGAAGTTAACGAAGGAACTGTGGTTGGAAATATAGCTAAAGATCTGGGATTAGATAAAAGCACACTGAAAGACAGGAAGTATCGGATTGTTTCCAGTAATGCGGATCCGCTGTTCCATGTGAATCAGAACGATGGTGTCCTCTACGTGAGCCGGAAGATTGACAGAGAAGGGGTGTGCGAGCGAAGCAGTACGTGTTTAATAAATCTGAAAACTGTGCTAGAAAATCCCTTGGAGGTGCATTATGTTGGAGTGGAGGTGATGGATATAAATGACCATTCTCCCAGTTTCCCAGACGAAGAGAAAACGTTGGATATCTCTGAGTCAGTCTTACCCGGGGCAAGATTTCCACTACAAGCTGCACGAGATCCAGACGGTGGTCCCTTCACTGTTCAGCAGTATAAACTCAGCCACAATGGCCACTTTCGTTTAGAGGTTAAAGACCATGGTGAAGATGGGAAAATACCTGTATTAATTGTGCAAAAATCTTTAGATAGAGAGGTTTCCGCAAGACAGTCATTAATGCTGACTGCACTAGATGGAGGAAAACCTCCGAAATCTGGTACTATGAATATTCTAGTAAATGTTTTAGATGTAAATGATAATGCGCCTGTATTCTCTAAAGACTTAAACTCAGTAATGCTTGAGGAAAATACTCCAATAGGCACAACAATCTTACAAGTGAATGCGACAGATCTGGATGAAGGACTAAATGGAGAAATAGTTTACTCGTTTAGCAACAGCGTAAATCGTAAATTCTTTAAGCTATTTGAAATTAACCAATCAACAGGGGAGATAATTGTTAAAGGTTTAATAAACTACGAGGATAAGGACAGATATGAAATTGAAGTGCAAGCAACAGATAAAGGTCCTGCTCCACTGGCTACACAAAAAAGTGTCGTCATAAAGATAGTTGACGTGAATGATAACGCACCTGAGATTGAGGTTACCTCCTTTTCAAACTCCATCCCTGAAGATTCAAGACCTGGAACTACAGTAGCCCTTATCAGTGTAAATGACTTGGACTCTGGTCTCAATGGAAAAGTGATTTGCTCAATAGGTGAGGATGTTCCTTTTGCTTTAACTCCATCCTTACAAGACAACATGTTTTCATTAGTGACCAAATCCCCCCTGGATAGAGAGAAACAGTCACAATATGTCCTGACAATAACTGCAAAAGATGCTGGTCAACCTCCATTATCATCTGAGAAGACAATAAATGTAGTGGTTTCAGATGTGAATGACAACAGTCCAGAGTTTTCACTGAGTCCATATACTTTCTATATCACTGAAGCCAATGAGCCAGGTACCTCTGTGTTTTCAGTTAAAGCTTTTGATCGTGATGAGAACGATAATGCACTAATAACCTATCATATCCTCAGAGATGGCAGTAAAGGAAATAAATTGACCTCATATTTAAATATCAACTCTGAAACTGGAGATATTTTGTCACTAAAAAGCTTTGACTTTGAGACTCTGAAAACGTTCCGGTTCCAAGTTGTCGCCACAGATTCTGGAACTCCGTCACTAAGCAGCAACGTCACAGTGCACGTGTTCATTCTGGATCAGAACGACAACGCTCCAGTCATCCTGTATCCGGTCAGCTCTAACGGTTCTGCTGAAGGTGTGGAGGAGATTCCCCGCAATGTGAACGCAGGACACTTGGTGACTAAAGTCAGAGCCTATGACGCTGATATAGGATATAACGGCTGGTTACTGTTCTCACTGCAGGAAGTTACTGCCCACAGTCTCTTTGGTTTGGACCGCTATACAGGACAGATCAGAACACTTCGCTCATTCACAGAGACAGACGAGGCTGAGCATAAACTGCTCATACTGGTGAAAGATAATGGCAACGTTTCCCTGTCAGCAACAGCTACTGTGGTTGTTAAACTTGTGGAGCCCAGAGAGGCTTTTGCTGCTGCTGATGTTAAAAGTGCAACAAAGGATGATGAGGATAATAACGTGACTTTTTACCTGATGATAACTTTGGGCTCAGTTTCAACACTTTTTCTCATCAGTATCATCGTGCTGATTGCAATGCAGTGCTCTAAATCCACAGACTATACTTCTAAATATCTACAAGAGACTAATTATGATGGGACACTGTGTCACAGCATCCAGTACAGATCTGGAGACAAGCGGTACATGTTAGTTGGACCCAGAATGAGTATAGGATCTACTATAGTCCCGGGCAGCCATGCCAACACACTGGTGCTCCCTGACAGAAGGGGAACATCCACAGAGGTAAGACAAATACATATTCCAGCTTCATGTCCTTTCATGTAGCAATGTCAATGTGATGGCAATTTATTTGCTTATATTTAAACATTTTGACTTCTAATTACATTGGATCATGTCTTACATGTACACTTTAAAGTTTTGTTTAGGATATAGGATCTGCTCTTGAGGCAGCATCTTCGTCTTATCTGTCTGAAATCATTTGTTTTTTCATACTTCATCCTTGTTGTTGAATAGTTGGTGATGTATGAGTCAATGCAGTTTTTCATAACGATTAGGGTAATGTATTCCTATACGGCTCTAAATGCAGGAGGAAGTGTCTCTGTCCATGGTGCTAACACATGTTGTACTGTTTGTTGTCATTCCTGGTTGCCCTTCACAATAATTATGTACTTTTTTGGACATAATCATATGGGTAAATTAAGTGAACTTGAATAAGGATATCTATTTTTGTCTTTTTAAATGATCGTAGTCAATCACGTTGTCAGTACCTTCATCAACTCTATCAACACATTTCTGATTTCATGCCCGGCTTGGCGTTCTGCATTATCTTGGCAATGATGGACAATGGTTGTGATCTCTTTTTATTTTGTTTTGGCTTTTGCATGATGTGGATTTTGTAGCTTGTCTTATTGTACCTTATATTAACCTTCTTTTCTTTAAAAAAATAGCTTGATAATTAAATATTGCGGGCGAGCAAATTAAATCTGACATATGTTGCAAAGACAACATCAACTGGGTCATGATCAACACATGCTGCTAAAAAGTAAACTATAGCATTCCGTATTAATGCAAGTTACAATACGACAGTGAACAAATAAATCCTAATCCAAAGTGTTTGCCGAACTGAATAGCAATGAGATCGCTGTCCTTGGTGCTTGAAGCTGAAGGAGTTTATTTAGTCGATGTTTATAGACTCGGCAGCCACCTTCTCTCTTTTAGTATTCAATAACTTTTATATGGCTAAAAACAACACACCATTGACCAAAGTGTTGATTATATGCTTCACATTTCTGCAGTGAGAAAAGGGGTCGCATGGTGTCAGTGAAAAGTTAGAATTCAGCAGTAGGCTACACGAGATTGTCGAAATTGCCGTTTGGTTCCTCCTCCTGACAATATTTTACTTCGATACTGACAGGAGCGTGTCTCTGCTCATGCCTTCATACATGATCGGTTTAGCGCAATTTATGGAAATACAGGAAGCTTTTTAATATGTATATTTACATCTAAGAAAGCGCTGGACTTTGTCTTCACAGCAAAACTATAAAGATTGTAATGGATTACTGATGATTTCGGGTTTAACCATGGAACAAAGAAGATGCGAGATGCGGAGGGCGAGAGGATGTTTGCTCGGCTGCGTGGTTGCTGTGCTTTTGTGCAGCGTGGCTTCAGCGCAAATACGATATTCAATCTCGGAGGAAGTTAACGAAGGAACTGTGGTGGGAAATATAGCAAAAGATCTGGGATTAGATAAAAGCACACTGAAAGACAGGAAGTATCGGATTGTTTCCAGTAATGCGGATCCGCTTTTCCATGTGAATCAAAACGACGGTGTCCTGTATGTGAGCCGGAAGATTGACAGAGAGGAGGTGTGCGCGCAGAGCAGTACGTGTTTAATGAATCTGAAAACCGTGCTGGAAAACCCTCTGGAAGTACATTATGTTGGTGTGGAAGTGCTGGATATAAATGATCATTTTCCCAGTTTCCCAGAGCAAGAAACTACGTTGGAGATTTCAGAGTCTGTAATACCGGGAGTGCGTATTCAGCTTAAAGCCTCGCGAGATCCAGACAGTGGGCCTTTCTCCGTGCAACACTATAAGCTTAATGACAACGATAATTTCCGTTTGGAAATTAAGGATAAAGGAGCCGATGGTAAAATACCAATATTGGTTATTCAGAAATCTTTAGACAGAGAAACTAAAGGAAGCCATTCATTAGTACTGACTGCACTGGATGGAGGGAAACCTCCGAAATCTGGAACTATGAATATTGTAGTGAATGTTCTAGATGTTAATGATAATGCGCCTGTTTTCTACAAAGAAGTTTATTCTGTGATGATAGATGAAAATGCTCCAATAGGTACAACAGTCATACAAGTCAATGCAACTGATTTAGACGAAGGGCCAAACGGGGAAGTAGTTTACTCATTTACTAATAGTATAAACAGAAGGTTATTAAAAATATTTGATATCAATCCATCAACTGGTGAAATAACTGTGAAAAGTTTAATAGACTACGAGGAGAAAGACATGTATGAGATTGAAATTCAAGCAACAGATAAAGGTATTGCTCCACTGGCTACAGAAAAAAGCGTCAACATTAAAATAGTAGACATTAATGATAATGCACCTGAGATTGAAGTTACTTCATTTTCAAACTCTATCCCTGAAGATTCAAGACCTGGAACAACAATAGCCCTTATCAGTGTTAATGATTTGGACTCTGGTCTCAATGGAAAAGTGATTTGCTCAATAGGTGAGGATGTTCCTTTTGCTTTAATACCATCTTTACAAGACAACATGTTTTCATTGGTGACCAAAACACCCCTGGATAGAGAGAAACAGTCACAATATGTCCTGACAGTAACTGCAAAAGATGCTGGTCAACCTCCATTATCATCTGAGAAGACAATAAATGTAGTGGTTTCAGATGTGAATGACAACAGTCCAGAATTTTCATTGAGTCCATATACTTTCTATATCACTGAAGCTAATGAGCCAGGTACCTCTGTGTTTTCAGTAAAAGCTTTTGATCGTGATGAGAATGATAATGCACTTATAACTTATCATATTCTCAGAGATGGCAGTGAAGGAAATAAATTGACCTCATTTCTTAACATTAACTCTGACACTGGAGATATTTTGGGGCTAAAAAGCTTTGACTTTGAGACTCTGAAAACGTTCAAGTTCCAAGTTGTCGCCACAGATTCTGGAACTCCGTCACTAAGCAGCAACGTCACAGTGCACGTGTTCATTCTGGATCAGAACGACAACGCTCCAGTCATCCTGTATCCGGTCAGCTCTAACGGTTCTGCTGAAGGTGTGGAGGAGATTCCCCGCAATGTGAACGCAGGACACTTGGTGACTAAAGTCAGAGCCTATGACGCTGATATAGGATATAACGGCTGGTTACTGTTCTCACTGCAGGAAGTTACTGCCCACAGTCTCTTTGGTTTGGACCGCTATACAGGACAGATCAGAACACTTCGCTCATTCACAGAGACAGACGAGGCTGAGCATAAACTGCTCATACTGGTGAAAGACAATGGCAACGTTTCCCTGTCAGCAACAGCTACTGTGGTTGTTAAACTTGCGGAGCCCAGAGAGGCTTTTGCTGCTGCTGATGTTAAAAGTGCAACAAAGGATGATGAGGATAATAATGTGACTTTTTACCTGATGATAACTTTGGGCTCAGTCTCAACACTTTTTCTCATCAGTATCATCGTGCTGATTGCAATGCAGTGCTCTAAGTCCACAGACTATACTTCTAAATATCTACAAGAGACTAACTATGATGGGACACTGTGTCACAGCATCCAGTACAGATCTGGAGACAAGCGCTACATGTTAGTTGGACCCAGAATGAGTATAGGATCTACTATAGTCCCGGGCAGCCATGCCAACACACTAGTGCTCCCTGACAGGAGGGGGACATCCACAGAGGTAAGATACATATTTTTGGATGTTTTGATTTTCGCATCCCCTGCATACTTAATACTATGTGTGAAAGCCCCCCTCTAACGGGCAAATACATTACATTACACTGCAAATAGCAATAATTAAATAGCAGAGAAGCGATACATTACTCAGGCTTAGCATTAACACTCCTACATACATTGTGATTAGTTTAAAATTGTGTGTACTACAACTATAGCTTCAGAGCAGAGTTGTCATTCTGTTTTTGTTTTTCAACTGCCATGTGATTTGTAATCATATATGTGTTATGGGGCTTGCAACTTGTGTGCTTGAATACGTTTTGACAGCTGCAGTTCATGAGCTTTAGTAACATCCTGGAATAGATGAGATGTAAATAAAAGGATCGTGTGGTTCCAATACTAAAGCTTATCCCCACTGTTAAACAGTTATATATAAGTTTATGTCTCATATCACTTCTGATCATTTGAAGATTGTATTTCATGTGTTAACTTAACAATAACATCTTATAATAATAACGATTCTAACGCTTGGTGTCAGTGTAGCTCAGTGTTTCTGTGACTGGCAGCACTTTACGTCACGTGCTTTATGTGGATCGAGTCCTTGCATTTTTCAGAGCATACTTGAGCGAATAAGATCGCAATTGCCACCAACGAGTGTGTTTAATTTTCAACCGTTTTTGTAAAAGCAGACGTTGGATGTTGTGAAGAAACATGGCGGATTAAGTTTAATTTATTTCAAGACGTAGTTAATGGACTGTTCTCTATCGCCCATACGAGCCATGGAACAAAGAGGACGCAAAGCACGGACGCCGCGACAATTTTGGTTTGCCTTGATGGTTGTTTTCGATATTTTATGGAGAGGAGCGACAGCACAGATCAGATATTCAATATCTGAGGAGGTTCAAGATGGAACCGTGGTCGGGAATATAGCGAAGGATTTGGGGCTAGATAAGAGTGCACTCAAAGACAGAGGATATCGCATTGTAACAGGCTCAACTGAGCCCCTGTTTCAAGTGAATCAAAATGATGGTATATTGTATGTTAAAAAAATAATAGATAGGGAGGAGGTGTGCGACCGGACCAGCCCGTGTTTGATCAACCTCAAAACTGTGCTAGAAAACCCGCTGGAGATCCACTATGTGGCGGTGGAAATACTAGATATAAATGACCACTCGCCTGTTTTTACGGAGAAAGAGAAAAGGCTTGAGATCTCTGAGTCGGCTTTACCAGGGGCGAGATTTCAACTACAGGCTGCGCGTGACCCCGACGTTGGCCAGTTATCCATTCAGCAATATCGACTCAGCCATAACGAGTATTTTAGATTAGAAGTGAAGGATAGAGGCGAAGACCTTAAAGTTCCATTTTTAGTCCTGCAGAAACAGCTAGATAGAGA